GAGGGCGCTAGTTACACGGTTCGTACCGAGTAGTTTAGAACATAACTTTTTTGAGGTTAGATTTTTCAATCCAAATATGATATGAACTTGAACATCATTCAATTTTACACCAAAAAGGTACCTCTGGTGAAACTCGATACAATGTTCCGTTTTCGGAATATTTCGATTTGAAAATAATGGAGTAATAGCTGATGCTGGTATAAAATGAATTTTATTGAGTTCAATTACCTATCTTTTCAGATTCAAAAACAATAAAATCATTCTTGTACTGAAGTCATTGATGAAACAAAGAATCATAAGTAGAAAATTAAAAGATATTTGACTAGAAACATGAAATATTGAATCAGTTAGAGTAAGTGTTCAAAATGTCCTACGTTTCGACGAATACATCGATTCTATATCCTTTTCTTGAGAATGTATTATTCTTTCCAACAGTTGAGAATCAGCTGTTAGGTCATTTAAGTGATGTTCAATTATGTCTTACAACTCTCGACGTGAATTTACCTATGTAGCATAAACTTTCTGCTCAAGATACAACAAAACTGTGTAATCCACGTTCTTAGTCAAATCTGTTTCGATGTTATTCTTGTGATTCATTGTTGAATCGATAAGTCTAGCATCAGAAATGTATTGTTGTTTTTGGTTTTCAATAAATAGGTGATAATTTTTCATAATACTCACTCTAATACATAGCTTTATATCAGCAACAGTTATCACTTCATCATTTTCAAATCGAAATATTCCGAAAACGGAACACAGTATTGAGTTTTACCAAGAGTACCTTTTTGGTGTGGAATTGAATGATGTTCAAGTTCATATCAAATTTGGATTGAAAAATCTAACCTCAAAAAAGTTATGTTCAAAACTACTCGGTACGAACCGTGTAACTATCGCCCTCTATGAGAGTCAGATATAAAAACAAATGCATGAGATGTGTCAGATTTCAAGAAACATCCATACAAAATTTCATCACAATGTTGCCAGTAGTTTCGACATAATCTTGAAAAATGTGTAAAAAAAATATTTTTTCAACACCTTGTATCTTGATAACGGATGCCGTTACGAAATTTCTTTACTGAGTGAACCCAACTTATTTTGCTGTGTTCTACCTACCCTATTTAGGGAGTTAGGTTTTTTTGAAACACCCTGTATAGGGATTATTGAAGTCGGAGATATACGCCAATGGAATATTTGATATTCCGGAACTTTCATCTTCCTTCCTTCCACCTTAGTTTTTTATTAATTCAAATGACTATCAAAATAGTTGATGAAACGAGTTTTCGGCAAATAATTTTTGTTGTTGTTGTTTTTTATTCAAGCATCGAATGACATAAAAATATACAGAGGCTCCAATACGAAATAAGAAAAATATAGTGCTTTGAAATTTGAAAAATTTACCACTAAATTTTGCACACCCTGTGATGATTCGTGTTAGCGATCCTCTTAGGCCTTATTTGATATGTATCTCTTATGATTCTATTGAGCAGGCACTCTATTTTTGGTATATTAATGTTTTTGACAAGTGGTGCAAAATTGAATTATTTTGTACTATTATTTTCATGTGATTTCAATTAAATTCCAGGAGTATGTAGGTAACCACTAGAAGCACCCAAATCTGCAACAAAATATAAGGCATGCCATTTAAAAAAATATATCATTATGACATCACACTTTTTTGGGACACCATGTATAATCGAAATTATTTTCCTGGTACAAATGAAGTCTGCAAAATATCAAAATCCTGGCTCAACTGATAACTGAGCTATAGAAGACGGGAGGTGAGATGCAGTACCCTGAATGTCTCATTTGAGAAAACTGTAACTTCTACGTCAATAGTTCAGTATACTGATATAATTGAAAATACGGTAAATTGAAAATATTGAAATTAAAGATCGATATGTCTGTGTTTGGCCGGAAACGAATCCATGCGTGACATTATATGGACGCACGGTATAGATAGGTACAAGGAATTTGAATAGATAGGTACCTATTATTATTTTTCGGCTATTCACCGATATTACTCATCATTTCTATAGAGAGTCGATGTTCTACTTATTTGGGTCAAACTTCCAGAACTTAATAATCACTTCTGCGTCACAATAGACGATACTTCTTTATTGGAAATCCCAAAGAACACTCAAATTTATGATAGACCAAATACAGGGGCATCGATAATATTTTTTCTTGGAGAGGGTGATGGCTTTTTGGTTCATGTAATGAAAAAAAAATTGTATAGAGAACCATGCATTGATAATATACATAATATTATTTATGGAAAAGATTATTTGTTTCCAACTGAACTTTTATATAAGGAATCTAAGAAAATGGATATAAATCAACTCTATATTTACAATTTACTGATTCATATTTTCAAAAATAAAAAGGACATTCAGTTTAAAAAACATATCTATGACATAAGAAATAAAAATAACATAACATTGAAATATAAAACAAACAAGTCATTTGGACGTATAAATTTTAAATTTTTCATTCCTTACCTATATAATAAAATTCCAAATGATATTCTAAAAACAAAATCACTACAATCCTATAAAATAAAAATAAAAAACTGGATATTAAACTCCCCTAAAAATTATTTTATTTCTTTAATTAACATTTAATAATATCATTAGATAAATTTTAATAATAATTGTGAATAAGTATGTATGAATATAAATAATTATGCGTATTGAATGAAATGCCCCGTACACTATATATTATGAATTGAATACTTGTCTCATTTCTTAATGAGACAATTTTCAATTGTGATAACTTGATATTGTTAAATATTTATTGACCTATGTACATTTATTTATTTTTTATCCTTACTACAAGGTTAACTTCGTAAGGTTTTTCCCAGTTTATTCAAATTACCTTTATGTTTATTCCAATGTATATTTTGTAAACGTTTTTGAATAAACTTATATTATTATTATTAATATTATTAATTCAATGGCGGCTGAATCTGGGGGTGATGAAGGAAAAAATCACCCCAATTTTAATATGTGCATTCAACACATTGAAAAAATACAACAGACCTATTATATGCAGGAATCTACCTGTTAGGAAAATTACTATTTCCTAACAAGTGCGGAAAGTGATTCTTTCCCGCACGCGACTGCCGTTGACACGAATGACGCGAAGCGGAGTTCGGGCAAGCAGTCGAGTGCGGGAAAGACACTTACCGCATGAGTAAGGAACAATATTTTTTCTACTTTGTTCAATTAACGACTCATGCAGATAGGAAACAACTAAAAAGAGAAATATATTCTCTTTCTACTAATTATTAGTATATAGCTATTGAGAACTTACAGTTTGACGCATTATATAGGTTCATTGCGGAAGCCAGCAGGTCCATAAGGTGATTGCTCTCTAGGTTTCAGACACTTCTAGGAAATGAGCCAAAAATACTTCTTCTTTATTCGGTATTTTCATTTCTTTATTGTTGCACCATTCAATAAAACGCGTATATAGCTCCTCATACCTTTCTTAAGACTTCTTTAGCAATAACTCATCTGTATCACATCCCTATAGCTGGAAGTTTTTGATCACATTGTGGCAATTTCACTCTGAATCGAAAATGACAGTAACGCTGTGTCTGTCACTTCGACAATTACAAACTCATTTGAGGTTTGATTGGCATGACAACAATGATCGTTTCCCATCAGATCAATCCAAATCTATAGGGGGATTTTTATAATTATCAATATTTATTTTTCAATGTTTCTTAATTTTCACAATAAATAGTGCAATTTGATGGATGATTCTGAACAAACATACTTAATACCGCAACAAACAAACGTTAACTTTCATATTCCATCACCAACCACTTATATTTTGCGATTTTATCATATCTTCGTTTTTCCCGCACTAGTTTGGGAAAAACTTTCCTGCACTGTTGCGGGAAAATGACACTTCCCAAACTAAATTGCGTACGGGTATAGGGTGAATCACGCACGCTTGTAGAAAAAAAAATTTGTTGATTTATCTTGAGCCAGTTCGAACTTTTCATCACAAAACAATATTCAGACTCGTATTTTCTAGAGTCACTGGATTATGAGCATAAAAGAATGAAAAAAAGGAAATACATATAAAGAAATACATTGAGAATTCACATTCTCTATGTGATAAAAATATCAATTCTTTCTCGGTTTATTCAACAAAAAACAACTACTTTCCTGGCTATATGCCACGGCGAACATAGAATCATATCTATTGAAGATACACGATAAGAATTTGAAAAGAAAATCTTTCAAAGTTGAGAATTTGCCTTCTCCTTCAGATAAAAATATGTATATGCACTCAACATCATTCTTAATATTCAACAAAACAACTCCTTTCCTGGCTATTTGCCACTTTGAACATTATATTATTATTAAATCTGTTGAACATCGAAGAGAGGAGAGCGCATGAAAAATAAAAATCCTTTGAAATTGAGAATTGACAATCTCTCATACTTATCTGATGAATAATATGATGTATCATGATGTAAAAATATAACTTAGCAATATGTGCCAAGTCCATTGTGAACGTCCCTGGGATTTCCCTTAAGAACGTCGCTAGGTAGTCCTCAAGTGAGATATTCCTTTGTGCGTAAAACAGACGTCCTAAGGATGTCAAAATGAAGGTATAATAACGAAAAGTGAATAGCTGGTCACCCGGTAAAAATCATTCGAAATCATCTATAAAATCGATTCTCCATCTACACGTCACCCCAGATAAATGGAACACACCCCCTACCCTCCTCCCTTCTTACCCTTACCACACCGTTCAATCAATATCAATAGTAAAATATTAAACACGTCGATCATGTGACCGCCACATGACCGAATGTTTGTATGGAAACTCAGTGCCCCAGAAAAACACCACTTCCACGACATTCCATCGACAAACCAAAAGCATCAACCGTCAAAGAAGGCTGGGGTTCCATTTGTTTCATTCAGTTGTTGTTGCGAGATATCGTCGTTTGTTCTGTTGAGCCATGAGAGAAATTCTTCCAGCAGGTCTCAACATCAAAAAGTCCAACATCAGGATATGGATCCACCAGAGGAACTTGACGAATTTGCAACAAGTCGTCTGGGAGGGACACGGAGGGAAATTGTTGGTGGAGCACAGCAACAATCCGAAGATCAAGAAGTTTTTGGAAGCGGTGCCTCATATAATGGTGAGTGACGGAAAACCATACCGGGTGACACAAGGAGACATATAGCAGCCTGTAGTTTTTTTATTTGAAGAGATAAAATTTTGAATTTCACAGGGGGTATATAATAAATGGTAGCGCACACTAATAATTTAAATGGTATCTAAGATAGGAACATATTTTTTCGAATTCAGCTACTCGTACAGAAACTATCTGTCTTTTATTTTCGCCATGTACCTATCACATGATCTTCCCATTTGGAATAATTAAACTAAAATTGTTCCTCTTATACGATGATCCACAGGGCTATCAGTCTATTTTGTCATAATTATTTCACTTAGTAGGCGGTGTACCTACACAAAATGTTATGTGTTTGACAGTTAATCGATTGCATCGATAATTTTTCTTCTTCATTTGTCAAACACATAAAACATTTTGTGTAGGTACACCGCCTACTAAGTGAAATAATTATGAAAAAATAGACCGATAGCCCTGTGGATCATCGTATAAGAGGAACAATTTTAGTTTTATTATTCCAAATGGGAAGATCATGTGATAGGTACATGGCGAAAATAAAAGACAGATAGTTTCTGTACGAGTAGCTGAATTCGAAAAAATATACTGTCTGTAGGTTAATCGAGGAGGTGGTATATTCATTATTCCAAATTTTTTGGGATTTTCTCTCCTCGTTTCTACAAAATAAAAACATGAATACTACTTCAATATACGTGTAGTAAGGACAAATCAGATGATTTGCCCCAAAATGTCACTGCGTTTAAAGAATTTTCCTATCAGAGAGCCTAAAAGAAAAATTCACTAGCTTGTCAGTGACAATTTGTATTGAAAAAATTTTTGGAGAAGGGAATTTTTCTTTTAGGCTCTCTGATAGGAAAATTCTTTAAACGCAGTGACATTTTGGGGCAAATCATCTGATTTGTCCTTACTACACGTATATTGAAGTAGTATTCATGTTTTTATTTTGTAGAAACGAGGAGAGAAAATCCCAAAAAATTTGGAATAATCGAAAAAATATGTTCCTATCTTAGATTCCTCAATATCATGAGTTATTTTCGAAGGTTTTCATCTTGACTCAAACAAGCTATTGACAACCTGCAGACATTGATCAGAATATCAAAACATTTTGAATAATATCGGTCTACTAATGATATTCAAATATCAAAGCTACCAAGTGTCGATATATCATCGAATTCATGTCACAGCCAACTTATTCTTTTCGAATAAAAAGCAATTCAAGAGTGAATTGAGAAATAAATGCCACTTTGTGATACATGGTTGGATGGAGAATTTCAAGGCGAAAAAGATAGACTGAAGAAATGTACAGGGTGACATTTAAAAAAAAAAGTTGGGGTCACTTCCGGTCAAACAGATGGTTGATAAAAATTGTCGTTGAGTTCGTAAAGTGCGCTACCATTCATTATATACCCCCTGTGAATTTCAAAATGTTATCTCTTCAAATAAAAAAACTACAAGCTGCTACTACTGCTACTGCTACTACGACTTATGGGGCGTTTGGTCCCAGTGCTGGGACCAACGAGGTATGCAATTGCAAAAAAAAATTTAACGTGCGAGAGAAGCGAGGGCGTTAATGTTCGAGATCATTAATCGCCTTTCAATATACAAGCTGGTTACAAAATTTTTCCGTCGACTATATTTCTCAATTCTCCTGCAATGAAGAAAACTTGGTTCGCGAATTCATCATTCATCCGGAAACTGCTAAGAATCACACATTAGTGACATTTGTCATTTGTCGAAATGATCAACATAGAAAATAAATTCCTTGTGTTAGAAAACAAGGATTAAAATCGTGTCAGAAACTTGTAAATACGAAGGCGCTGAAGAGCCACCTATACTTTTTTTTGAATCCCGACTTTAAAGTCGGGGGTCCGAGATTAAAGTCGGGGGTCCGACTTTAATCTCGGACTTCATGGATAAGTCCGAAACGGGTGTTCTCAGACCCATTCTATCATATATCATTGAATTCGTCTTTCTTAGCTCTATCCAAGAATGAAATTAAATACATTCGAAAATTCCGAGAAAATGATCGGTTTGCAAAATACGTCATCACTTTTGTTTGATTCGAATATCCTTAATATTGACAAAATATCAATATAACATATATAATTAGTTAATTCATAATGAAAACTGCGCATTGAAAACTTGATTCTCAACGTTTTCATAAGGCTTTGAAATTTGGCTATTTATTGAAGAAGATCATGGAAATAGTCCGGAAGGGGTGATCTCATACCTACAAATGTAATCATATATCATTGAACTCATCTTTCTGAGCTCTACCCAAGGACGGAATGACATTCATCAGGGTAGTTCATTTGTGAAAATATATGTTTTGTATTGTAATCTTTTTGCACTCTTTGCACAAACAAATGAGATTCTTAGCTATTAAGTGGAATATAAACAATCACCCTATACGTACGATAATGATCGTACAGGTGTGATCTCGAGTGTGATCCATTATTTGACATTCAGTGTACATCCAAAAAGGATGAGGATTTTGACTGATCCTTATGTGATGATTATCCAATGGATGTAAAATTATTGTTTGTACATAAATGTACAAGGTATTTCTCAAGTACATGTAGAAAATTCAGGAGCATGTTGCTGACGTCAAACTGATGAGTAACAATGGAAATTATTTATTTCTGTCCACATATTTAACGAATATAATCTAGCTTCTAGTTCTAACTTCATTTTCGGACTCCCGACTTTTATCTCGGACCCCCGACTTTAATCTCGGACCCCCGACTTTAAAGTCGGACCCCCGACTTTAATCTCGGACCCCCGACTTTAAAGTCGGGATTCAAAGAAAAAGTATGGGTGGCCTTCAGCGCCTTCGTATGTAAAGGCGAACCCGTTAACGGAAAATCTTCGATGAAATCCATATTCTCGATTTAAATGCAGATTCCGTAAGTTATAGCATAAACAATGAATGCACGCAGTGTATGTTTGTTTGCCTATAAAACAATCGTGCATTAATAGACAAATTGATCATTAATAGGGGTCATTAATGAACGATTTCATGAACATTAAACTTAGTCGTTAATACGAGGTCGACGGAAAACTAATATTTATTAGTTCATAGCAGATAATGCATGTACACCCGGTGTCCCATTAGAAATGGATCAAACGAAGTGGGGTGGTAGGGGAAGTCATTTGTAATCAAACTAACGGTATATTATTATGTTGTTATCAAATCATTGATGGTTTAAAAGTTATTAATTTTTTCTGAAAAATGCTACCAATTCGAAAATAAATAATAAAAGAAGGCTGTTTTATTTCGGAATCTGTATTAAATGGGCAACTCTTATGATTGGTTATCATTGTGGGGTAGTTTCAAAATCTGCCAGCGGCATTTGAAAATCGACTTAAATATTTCATTCGATTACAAAACTCGAGGAAAATAAAATTTTTCTCAGGTAGGTAATTGATAAGAAGTGATACATATTATAAAATTATTTCTGGTGAAAGGCGCATCCATGTGGATGAAATTTGTGAAAGAAAAAATCACGAATGTTACATATAGTTTTATTGTAATTAATTCTTTTTATAGTAATGGAAAAACATTAATAAGTTTTGAACCATCAACAATTGGATAACCACATATACGGTTAGTTTGATTTGAAATGACCCCCCTTACCACCCCACTTATTTTGATCCATGACTTATCTACCCTGTATAGAGCACAAATTCCGGGACATCTGGTATATTATTAGATGACGATTTGAGAACTCGAATAGATGGTAAAAAAAGGTTATCATTCATTAGCTTCACTAAATCGATCCATTTTATAATGGTCAGCCTGATAGAAAATTATTATGACAGGAATAGACAATCGTTTCTACCGTACTGTTAACTGTAATTCCATCATAGTTACCTACTGAACATCTGAAATAATTCATGGATCACGGATAATTTTTGTGCAATTTTCTAATTTTCTGTACAGCTGAACGAGAATATTTCGGAGATTCGATATAACAGAATAAAATATGCGGGTCTAACAACATACAATGATTCTTCGTCAACGTACATAATTTCCATCAGACCATCATCATAACTGAATTCTTTATCAGTCGGCGTATATTCCGCATTTTTTCTATATTGCGATAACAAAATGAAATATGGAATCATCAAACCCAACTGTTAATCTGATATAGGGATTATTACAATGCAATCACCAATCTACGAAAGCGTATATCTTTCTTCGAATCTGAATTCAGATTTTTGCTTGGATTTAAATTTCTTCTTCTTCTTCTTTTACTTGAATCCAGACTTTTCCCTTTGTATTGAAATAAAAAAAAATCAATCTTCTTGTATGGTATACATGTACAGAGTGTTCCAAAATACAGATCTACTATTTTGTTTCCAACCTCTCCACTTTTCAGGGTATGATCAAAGAAATACACTGTGACGTTCAAAACGACGACTTGCAAAGTTTGAAAAACCACGTGACACCTCCAATTCCTCCCATAGTACTTTCTGGCAAGGACATCAACGGCCTGACACCCCTTCACAAGGTAGTTATATATAATTCACATATATTCATATATTCACATTGTCGCAACTCAGATGTTGACCCTCCTATAGGTTGTAACTTAGCTACTTGACTTGGCTTTTTGACGAGAGGTTTTGATTATTTCACCACCCAACCACATGCATCTCCAAATGAAGAGTCAAGACAGTTTTCATATAAAATTTGACATATACATTGAATGAATGAAAAAATCGTGGATGAATGCTCGGCACATGGCAGGTTAGCAAAGAAAAAGAATATAATGGCTTGCCAAATGAAACACAACGCAAAACAACACTTGAAAATGAAACAGTAATTACATAACAACGTCTAGCACGGGGATAACCAGCAGGATGGAAGTCAGTCAGGGAGACAGCGAACATTTTTTAATTGATAATTACTAATGACTTGTATTTATAATAATGATGCCTTATCGACTCGGGTACTATTCATACTCGAAATCGATGATAGCTTTGCAATTTTTCGCAATGGAAATGGCCATATCACCGTTCGATATTGCTTATACCTAGGTTTTATCGCACGGTAAGCGGTTTTTGCAAATTCTACAGGAACTGACGTCTATGAACTCAGCTGACTGATCGAAACTACACTGTACTGGATGCTTCAATTTGGAAAAGTTAATTTATGATTGGAGATATTGAAATGAACGCGAGTTTGAGTGATGTTATTCCATAGGCATTTGTACGTCCTGACAATATACACAATGATCATAAAGTAGCAACCTCTATAATTAACTTCCGACAGGAATTTTCATCATTTTTTAATGTAATAGTTCGAATGTTGAATTTGATTACGATAAAGAATCTATATCTTCTAAATAATGGGCTCATAGACGCCATTTTCTTTCGTTATCATATATGCTGTGGTATGATATGTATCTATTTTTCCCTAAATTCCAAGAACTACCTCAATAATCAAAAAAGATATACGCCAGGGGTGCTCCTTGAAATGGGACTAAACTGAAATTTTTTCAGGTCAAATTTTATTTGAAAAAGAGGTACCTATTTCATTCAAACTAACTGTTTTTTTTCAAGGCTGTGGGTCTAGACAAACAGGAAATAGCAGGATTCATACTGGCAGAATATCCAGATTGTATAAATTCACGGGACAACGATGGCCGGACGCCTCTGCATTATGCATCTCTGCTCAAGGATGATGGAAAAATGACAGATTTTCTCATAGAAAATGGTGCCGACGAATCTGCACTTGATAACGTAAGTGAATTTCAGAATTGAATCGGTCTTTTTTTCATGAAAAATACAAGTTACGTATACCAGTGACTCCTCCCATAGATTAATTAATTTATGCTCCTCCCGAAACTTTTCTGTGTTAAGTTTTATAGGTAGAAATGAACAGTCAACAAGTGTATATGACTTCTTTTATGGGATTTAATCATAACCAAATATATACGACCAGTTATACGGCCTTGAATTATGTATAAAAACTAACAACGGATTTTTCATTTACAACATGGCTGAAAGTTTTGATTTTTGACTTTGACACTGACATCACGTTTTAACAGCGCCAACTGAATCTAGGAGGAAAAGGAGTGCTTTCATAGTGATAACAGGTCCATATTTCAGTATCACAGAACTATAATGAGTGAAATATATTGTAAGTAGTGAAAAAAATGTAATATACACCTTGATAGTATTAGTTTTTTACCTAACAAGTGCGGAAAGTATTACTGTTCCGCACGAACGACGCGGAACAGAGATCGGGCAAGTCGTCAAGGGCGGAGAAGATATTTTCCGCAAAGTTCATCCTACGAGTGTTTTTGTCCATATTATTTATAAAAAAAAGATTTTGATGAACAATATATTCCGTAATGAAGCTACAAAATGACACATAAGACATAAGACAGAATAATTACATGGATCATTTAGTTAGTCCTAAATATCCTTATTTTCGACAATATCAAAATCTTGCGGAAATAGTATATTGTGCAACAAGTAGGAAAAGTGCTTTTCCCCACATGTTACACCATACTTTTTCTACAACTGCACTTATCCAAAGAATCCGAGTAATGTAACTTATTGGTATTCATTTTATAATGTAGCACTATGCCACATCGAATATAGTGACCAAAGAGTAGACGCCTTTTCTAGTTCCTCAAAGTATTTCAAAAAAGTGCACTTTCTGAAAGAGATTTTATTTTTGTATTTTTTAGATTTCAAACATTTTTCGTACAAATATGCCAATTCATACTTTTTTCTTGAAATTTCCGGAAACGAATCCAACTTTCGCAGCTTTTTCCATTATCTCTGTCTCTGGCGGTGTATTTATCAAAATCGTCACATCTCGGTATATACAATATATTATTTATTATGAATTGTTGGAATAATATTTGATGGAAAATGCGATTACTATCAAAAGCACTAATGAGAACTGACCTAAAAAACTTCTTCTGACAGTTGTGACAACTATTCAAAGCTGAACGGCAGCCAGCTGTACAGCAGCCAAGTTGTGGTCGTTTTTTGTTGATTCTCCATGGAATTGTATGTGGTGTTAGCAAAGTGCCGTGAGAAAAAATATTTCTCACAGTATGGCCAATACATGGTTTTGAAACTAAGTAAGCTATGAGAAATGCGCTACTTTTCATAGCAGTAGTAGAAAAAGTAACTTTTCAGCACTAGTGCGGTGAAGTAACTTTTCCGCACGATATTTTCATGCACTGAAAAATAATGAAATATTTTTTTCCATACATATAATAGGAAACTTAATTGAAGAACATTTAAATAACAATAACTAAAACATCAACGATGGTAAATATTGAAATCGAAAGTGCAATTTTTGCTTGTTGATCGGTTTGTTGCTGAGAAATACTAGTGTAGTGAATGGAGGAAGGTGAAATGCTTATTTATTGACTGCTACTACTGTCAGTTTATAGCGGCTGTTGCTATGGGTACGTTCTGGTGCCAACAGTTATCACCACATGTCTTCTGGTATTTCTGTCGATATCGTGTGGAAAAGTACAAATAATGCGGAAAAGTGAAATCGTACGAAAAAGTACAACTTTCAAAACGAAAAATCATGCGGAAAAGTTACTTTTCCGCACGCTCGAAGGGAATAGAATATTATTACCACGGGAACCCTCGGCTAAAAACTCGGGATATAATATTGGTACTGGGTGATACTAATATTCATCTTGATGAATAAGTAACTATTACAATCATGATCGTTGCATACGACGGCTTATGAATATTTGAAGCAAAAAATAATTTCATATACTATTTATATTTCAAAATATTCCTACATATTTTTTCTGACCATGAATTGCATGTACTTTTGATGCGTTTCGATTGAATGTCGACTGACATTTAATGTCAAACAACTCAAGCAAGTGATATTGAAATACAATACGGGAATGGAAAAAAGTAACAGTTGTTCCATAGTAAGGTCTCACTGACAGGTACTGTTAAACTTAGAATCTCATGATAATATAAAATAGGGGAATCTGGGTAACACAACTGATCGATTGCAGAAACAAAAGACGGCAGCCTACTACAAAACGAGGCACTCGGAAATGGACGCCAAACTTCTGCAAGTGGTGCCGGAGTGTCCCAGATCGGCCAAGGACACGTTCGCCGCCAATTTTGATTGGTCGATGATATCGTCATCGCCTTCGACGAACGGACTGTCCAAGAAAGTGGAGAAACTCTTGGACAACGAGGACGACGCTGACGAGAACAAGGACCGATCGGAGGGCAACCATAACCAAGATAACGGAAATCATGAGGAAGCTGACACCGCCACAGAAGAAAATAACGGTAAGAGTATAGGTATATAACAGTGTCATCCAGAAAGTTCATACCATATGGAAAAAACTGTTAACAATGATAATTAATATTTGAAATTCGACTTGGGCGTAAAGTTTGGCTTTAAAGAAGATGGACAAAAGATTTTCGGAATTCGAACAAATCAGTCACTTTAAAGTAATTAATTTGAAATCAAATGTTTCCTCGTTGAGAAAACACTAATAAGTGCAAGATTATTTTGTAAATTAAGCTAATTACTTGGAATAAGTCCTGATTGACAAATTTATCAGGCAATTAGTCCAATTGCAAGATGGATCTTGTAATTAGGGCATATTTGATAGATTAATCTTGCAATTAGAGCCTAATTGACAAATTTATTCGACATCAATGACAAGATAAATCTTTGTTGCAATTAGACAGAATAATCTTACAATTATGATTTTTAACGAAGACTATTGTTTGATCTATTGCCTAATTGCCCAATTATACAGATGAATAAAGATTTTCCTAACATATTTTGAAAAATGGAGATCGTTTTTCATTCCAGGAAATGTTGAATTAGACGATAAAACGAACGGTATGGAAGAACAAGAAACTGAAAGGGAACCGGAAGAAATCGATATGAACAGAGAAACCGAAGAAATGCAAAGCGAGGAAAAAGTAGAAGACACCAAGGACGAAGGCAAGAAAGAGTCCATTGAAGAAACTGAACCCTCCATGGTGCCCAGTGATACCGGAGTCGAAACACCAGAAGAAAACAAAGATGAAAACGATGCTTCTGAGGGGTCCGAAACGAAAGACGACAACAACAATGAAACGGAAGTAGACAAGGAGTCAATTGAGGCCAAAATGAACGGGAACCATGAACCAATGGATGAAGGTAAATTTTTAGTATACACAATTCACTGACAGGCAAACACAAGCCAGTTTTGAGAGAGACAATTCATCTTATCACACTGGAACTAAAAAAGAAACGAAAATAAATTCGATAAATCAACTCCGCCACAGAAAACACCATTCGACAGTAGCGTCTGAGTAGTATACTTTCCATGAATTTTAGAATGGTGGGGATAGTGCAGCGTTGCTAGTTATCGCTTCTTCGTTCGAAAAATAGCGCCTATAGAAACAGGGGGAACAAATATATTCAGAGATTTAGCGCAGCAACTGTGGGTACAGCGCGAATAAATTCTCTCTTCATATTATACTACCACATACTACAACCCGTAGCGTAGTTGACTGTGCGTTTGAATCTCACGTCGGCGACCCGGGTTCAATGCCTGCGACGGTCGCCTTTTTTTATTTCTGTTCTCTCAAGTGATTTTCCGAAAAATATAATTTTTATGAAGAAGATTTGAAATAAGTAGTGTCCTTCTTTATGCAAGAGGAATATTTTCCTTCCTCCCTGAAAAAGGTAGTGCCTCTTTTGGAAGAAGGTTCATTAAGGCCGAGAAAGGTTAGATGGTTGGAAAAGTAGTGTCATTTTTCATTCAGGAGGAATATTTTCCTTCCTTTCTGAAAAAAGTACTGTGGAGGCACTTACTGTTGAGAAAGAGTTTTGACAACATTATCTTCTAGAGTAAAGGTTTTTTTTTCAGTTCCATGTGAATTCATGAAAATGCTATTTTCTTCTTTTTGGGTTATCCTATCAGTTCAAGATCATAAAAGTACTTTTTTTCTCAATTGGAAGAAAATCAGCACAGTCCGGCAACATTGATGACTGACACGGGATGACGCGAAGTCCCCACCACTATTCCATTTTATGACGTAGACTCCGCAGACGCAAAAGTCCATTCGACAATGACGTGAGATCATTTTGACATTGATAAAAATGGTGCATCCTGTTTTAATAATAATAACATTTATTGGTCCCAAGAAGCATACAATGTTTATAGAAGGATACAAAACTATAATAATAGATAAATCGAATATACATCAGTTCAATAAGAATTGATTTATACAAAAAGAGAACTAAATTGATAAAACATATTTCTTCAGTTCACTCTTGAATTTTGTGACGAGCCTTATAGATATTTTCTGCAATCGATACAAGAGTCCATTTCGATACCAAAATTAGCTCTTGAATTGACGTTCCTATTACTGACACAAAAAAGGTTTGTTGCTAGGCAACATATTCAGTTCCTAGGAGCTAAAGTCAAACTCGCTCGGCTTCGCTAAACGCTCCGCTTCGCGAATGCAAAATTTGCTTGTCAAACAAAGTGTCAATTTTAATCCTAATAAAACAATCTACTACTCACCAAATGTTATAAAAGCAATTTTGTGTATTTTTTTGTTGAAAACTCCATCAGTTTGTGTTCACCCAATATCAGTGCCAATTTTGATTACCATTTCATTCAAATTACTTGTAACTTTGCATAGCAACAAACTTTTCCTGCCTAGGCAGAGAAAGTACATCTTCCCTTTCTAATTGAATGTCAGAGAAAAGCCACTTTCAATGCCACTTGTAGAAAAAAACAATTTGTCAAGTTTATTCGAAATAAAAAACAGAAGTAAATCGAATATTTCTGATAAAAAAATACACTGAAATCAGTATTTCACACTTCCTAACTTGTGATATTTGGCTGAGTGAAAGTTTCGCCTATAGATAGAGAAGATGGACAAGAAGAAGACGTGCCATCACCATCGAAGACCAGGCCGAGCAGCAGAGTCAAATCCACAACACGTCCGAACAGTCAAAATGGCCAGACCGCAGAAAAGTCGCGACCAGCCAGCAGGACCAGCGAGCATTCCAACAAGTCTAGACCGAACAGCACAGTTTCGGATAAAAGCCGACCATCTAGTCAAATCAAATCGACCACTCGACCAAACAGCAAATCAACCACTCGACCAAACAGCAAAGCGGGGGGAAACCCGACAGGTATGTGCATACTAAACTTCCGATAATAACAATTGTCTGATGATTTCAAATACAGCCACCTAGTACCCAGCAAACACAGTTACATCACAGAGATATCGCTGCGATGTAACAATTGTGACCTAATAAGATATCGCATTGTTTGTCGCATACCCGTCGCTGCAATGTCAGAGGAATGTTATTATATGTTCCACTCAAGTTTCATCCATGCGACGTCGCAGCGATAAGTTCTCTGCGATATAACAGCTATATTATCTTCACAATGTGATTGCGAAATGTTATTTGTGATGGAAAAGCGATGTATTTTTGCGATTAAACTACTATGTGATACGAGATGATGTAAAAAAAATCCTCAAACATGGTGTAATAATACACCACTGGCCTCTGATGACATTCAATGATACTGATTATGCAATGTTGTGACTGATTGGTGGTCCCTCGGGTCCCCTGTCCATTTAATCGTCTTTTCAGCTGCGCTATTACGCATCTCCCACCAGGATAAGTAGCTTGTATTTGTATCGAAAATTATGTAGTGTGTGTCGGCGGGATGTAAGCAAATCAAGAATAATTCGATTTCATTTCATCGAATGTTTGCGAATTAAGCTTCACTTTATTAAGTAACGTATATTCATGTATTTTTTTTTCACCCAACAAGAATTTAAGTATCAAAATTTCTAATTTCTGGAATACAAAGTCCACATGTGCACTTCGCAATGATGCAACATTCGTGATATCGTAGTGTTTGCTTCTCTACAGCGCAGCGACGAAACATTCGTAATATCGCAGTGTTGCCTGATCGCGACATCTCAGAGATGTCATGTTGCAGATATGTCTGCTTCTGTACATACGTATCTATGAGATAGATAAGAAATCTATACTTTTTGAATCCCCTCTATATCTACAAAGTTATCTCATAGAGAATTTTACGCAGAATCCAGTAGCGCACTCAATTTTTTTTTTCGGGGTATGGTTTTGGAGATACGACTCAAGCTTATGATTTTTCAAATGGAACACCCTGTATTTTATGAGCTCATTAAATTCCTCTTTTTTTCCCATCATAATGAAATTCAATGTATAAATGTAGAATTTCCAAAAATGCTCCTAAATAACTGAAACATTGAATTTTAATAGTAGGCTATGCATTTTCCATTTAAAATAAGTTCCAATTGAAGGAATATTCCATTTGATTTTTCCATGAAGAGGAAAAAAACAATCTCAACACTAATTAACTGAGAAAACACAAAAATTAGGTATTTGATAGCAATATATATAGTAATAAAAAGTTGATAATATAGAATAAGCATCTGATTGAATATTCACTAAGACAGTTGAATTTTGAAATTAATCAGTAAGTTATTCATTATTAGTTAGTTATTCCCTCACACACTTTCTCAATACGTCTTGATGCATTCAAAATCATTGAAGTTTGAGTCGTATCGCCGAAACCATACCCCGACAAGAAATGTTAAGTGCGCCACTGGATTCTGCGTAAAATTCTCTATGAGATGAGATTCTAGTTTGAAATTTTCGCTGAAAAACTTCGTAGATATAAAGGGGGTCCAAAAAGTATAAATTGACAGAATCGCCCTGTATCTCCTATAAACGGAAACAGTTATGCAGAATCTCATTAGGCCATCTTGGGTTTCCCAAAAAAGTGGCACAGGACCTTTTGGATAAATTCAAGCGAATTTGACACAGAATGATTGTTATAAGGGTTATTCACAGTTTTGAAAACTTCAACCATGCTACCAATGGGCTTATATCACAAAAAAAATGTATTTCATAATTCGATAGAACTCACCCAAACTAGCTCACCACCGCAAACCGTTTCTTGCTGTGAGCTTCCTACGTTTTATTAAAAATTATTGAAATCCCCGATTTTTCGGACCTCTGAAAACGAGACGATGATGTGACGTCAGAACCCTGATACTCAAACAAGACTATTCCAGACAGAGATAAATGATACATGATTTCTGACAGAGTGAATTAGCGCGAGATCACAGTTGAAAGAATTAATATAGCAGTTGCCCCAGTCTCCGTCGGGCGTTTGGTATTTTCTTTTAACTATGGCGAGATAAGGGTTTTACGTCATAAGAGGGTCCGTTTTCAGGAGGTACTATTATTTATGTCCAAAAATAAAACATTCCAGTTAATTTTTCGATCGAATTATGCCGTTAATCATTATTTATGCATAAAAGGATCATTATAAAGATGGTTTGAGTTAAAAGTTCTACTAAGGTGTACACGCCCATTATCATGTCATAAAACCGCACCGTAATGTCGTTACTCGTTACAGAAGACAGCGAAGGGGTGATAGAAGGAGTGGTGCACGGCGACGTGGTGGAGACCATGGACAACGAAGGGACCAACGAAGGGACCAACGAAGGGACTAACGAAGGGACCAACGAGAAGGCCGTGGCCGAGAGCGAGGAAGAGATAAGGGCGCTGGTCGGAGGCGGCAACATGGAACAGCTGGCGGCGCTGGTGTTGAGCGGCGAGGGCGAGAAGCTCATCGGACAGACGAGCGACAATCCGGAGCTGCAGGCTTTTTTAGAGAACGTTCCAGTTTATATGGTGAGATATATGTTTCTCAAGGGGGGCCAGGAACAATTCTCTAGACCTGTAGACATTATACGTAAATGCGCCGCAGGCGATTTTCTTTTCGTTCAAGGGCGAATGCCTTCAAATTGGAAATTAGACTTCTACCAGGGTGAGATGAAGGGTTTCTTATGATCCATATTCCATATAATAGAAATGAGCCTACAACAATATACAGGGTCTCCCTAAAAAGTCTTTACAATGTAGAGGTCACACCAAAACATTTGATTTGAGAAATATCACTTCAGTATGAAGTGCTCAGTTTGGCCGCTGCACGACTCTGAAGTTACAATTTTCAAATCGTTTTTGCTTTTTCTTGAATATTTAATTCATTCTTTGCTGTAGACATTACATTGCATCTCATATAGATATAAATATATTTTATCAAGATTTGCAATGAAATTACATAAATAATTTTAAAGATTCATATCTGGTATTATTGAAATCAACAATAACAGATTCGAAAATAATAATAATCAAACAAAAAGCCCATGAATAGTTATTTAACCAACTAGTGTATTAATGAGGGCGATTAATGATCGAGATATTTTAACGTGCGAGCGAAGTGAGCGCGTTATAATGTTTGAGATCATTAATGACTTTCAATATACGAGTTGGTTACAAAATTTTTCCGTCGACTTTATTTCTCATTTCTCCTGCAATGAAGAAAACTTGGTTCGCGAATTCATCATTCATCCGGAAACTACTAAGAATCACCCAGTAGCTTTGTTACTGACATTAGTGACATTTGACATTTGTAGAAATGATCAACATAGAAAATAAATTCCTTGTGTTAGAAAACAGGGATTAAAATCGTTTCAGAAACTTGGAAAGGCGAACCCGTTAACGGAAAATATTCGATGAAATCCATATTTTTCATTCAAATGCAGATTCCGTAAGTTATAGCATGAACAATGAATGCACGCGGTGTATGTTTGGTTGCCTATAAAACAATCGTGCATTAATAGACAAATTGATCATTAATAGGGGTCATTAATGATCGAAACTTAGTCGTTAATACGAGGTCGACGGACATAGTTATTTAACCAACTAGTGTATTAATCGCCTCTTAATATAGCTTTGTTACTGACATTAGTGACATTGGACATTTGTCGAAATGATCAACATAGAAAATAAATTCCTTGTGTTAGAAAACAGGGATTAAAATCGTTTCATAAACTTGGAAAGGCGAACCCATTAACAGCAAATCTTCGATAAAATCCATATTTTCCATTTAAATGCAGATTCCGTAAGTTATAGCATAAACAATGAATGCACGCGGTGTATGTTTGGTTGCCTATAAAACAATCGTGCATTAATAGACAAATTGATCATTAATAGGGGTCATTAATGAACGATTTCATATACATTAAACTTAGTCGTTAATACGAGGTCGACGGAAATAGTTATTTAACCAACTAGTGTATTAATGAGGGCGATTAAAGGTGCGAGCGCGTTAATGTTCGAGATCATTAATCGCCTTTTAATATACAAGTTGGTTACAAAATTTTTCCGTCGACTATATTTCTCATTTCTCCTGCAATGAAGAAAACTTGGTTCGCGAATTCATCATTCATCCGGAAACTACTAAGAATCACCCAGTAGCTTTGTTACTGACATTAGTGACATTTGACATTTGTCGAAATGATCAACATAGAAAATAAATTCCTTGTGTTAGAAAACAGGGATTAAAATCGTTTCAGAAACTTGGAAAGGCGAACCCGTTAACGGAAAATCTTCGATGAAATCCATATTTTCGATTTAAATGCAAATTCCGTAAGTTATAGCATAAACAATGAATGCACGCGGTGTATGTTTGGTTGCCTATGAAACAATCGTGCATTAATAGACAAATCGTTTATTAATAGGGGTCATTAATGAACGATTTCATATACATTAAACTTAGTCGTTAATACGAGGTCGACGGAAAAAGTACATTATGACATGATGAAATAAATTAGTGAATGAGAAATCATTCACTCAGGTTTGATTTTCTCTTTGCAAGATGATATGTTTCTTGACTTTAATTTTGAATTGGGTGATATATGTGCAACTTTTGATATCATCAGGTAATTTATTGAATTTTGAGATAAAAGACGATGCAGTATACTTCTGATGCTTTTTTTATATAGTATTGATATTTTGTTGAGCTCATTCTTGGAACATGAACCCCAAATATTCATGAGATAGTTAATTTTACCAAGGATGTGAGAGTATAGAATGATATATTTGGGATAAGTATTGGACATCTTTTTAGAGCACTAACTATGGGAGACATTTTTTCTTTGAGCATGTCGATATTATGCTTGTCACATGTTAACTTTTCATCAATCCAAATACCAAGCTTTGAAACGGCGAGTTGGCAAACATATCACAATCATGATGAATATCATTCCATGGGCAGAGAACTTGATTTTTTCAGTAGATGAACATCTGAAACAGGGGCGGGCTGAAACTTAGAATCGGCCTGGGCGAATGGAACCCTACCGGCCCACCTCCGGAGAAAATTTCATAGCTATTATAGCTATTCATATAATTTCATTACATATTTTAGTAACATAGACAACAACGCGGAAAAAAATCATTACAAATGGTTTTTATTATAATAAAACTCAAACATAAAAACTGTCGATAAAACATCGTATATACTGAAGAAAAATGAAATAAATAACATAAATGACATTCTATAAATGGATAAAAAATAAAAATAAATGAAATACGATATTTCTATGGCAGAGGAACATGAAGCACTTTGGTGAATAATATTAATGCAACAAAAAGACTAGGAAAAATTCTTATCCAAATCAAAGAATGAAACATTAGCCGCATTAGGAATTGAAATTAAAAAACGAGTAAATCTCTCATGGATCCGCACATTTTTCAACGAGATCGAAAATTATACCTTCGCTTCCTATTGATTTTAAATCTCTTTTCCGCACCTCAGAATCATGAGTTGAGAATTTGCATTTTCTTAAGTTTTGGACCCCTCCTTTCTCTCTAATCGAAATCATCAACTTTTTTTTTTTTTTCAGGCCAAGATCCAGAAGATACATGAAGCAGCTAGGAGTGGGAGTCTGAGAGATTTGCAAGCTGCTTTGGATAGACGCAAGTTTGCCATTGCTAAAGATTCTATCTCGGCAAAAGGTAAGTCAAAGAAAAAAATCCATACATAGTAGCTAGAAGCACCCTAGTAACCTGCAATGGGCTATGAATATATCCTTCAATTTTTTATAGTCCAGTCATTATAGACTTTGACCCGTGAATAATTTTTAAGTGTTTTTTTTTTCATAGGTGTCTCGGAGGGGTCACTGGGAGTGTAAATTCAAAATGACGACCAAATCAAGCTTTTGCGTAGAAAAAGTTCGGGGACAAAAATTGTAGTAAATTTGGTTCTCTACAAGTTTGGTCCATACAATTTTTCTGATAGGATCGATATTTTGTAAATTAAACCTGAAAAAAGCGACAAATTCGAAATATTTTCATTATCTCGTTTATTTTCAACTTAACGGCATAAATGAAAAGGACTAAACTTGTGAAGAATCAAATTCTAAACAATTTTGGTTACTACGGTTTTGTTCCAAAAATCGATATTTTGGGAATTAAACCTGAAAAACGCGACAAATTCAAAAGATTATCATTATCTCCAATGCTTCGCATTTTACGGCATAAATGAAGAGGTTATTCCGCGCAGGTAGCTGGTTTTGTCATGTCGGTGTGAAAAAATGGTTCCGGAACTATTTTTTTTACCAAATTTGTCCAAAATTTGATTCTCTACAAGTTTGTTTCTTCTCATTTATGGTGTAAAGTTGGGAATAAACGAGATAATGATGATATTTCGAATGAGTCGTTTTTTTTAGGTTTAATTCCGAAAATATCGATTTTCGGAAAAACAGGTGAATACAAAATTTGTCCAAAATTTGATTCTCTACAAGTTTGTTTCTGTTCATTTATGCCGTAAAGTTGAAAATAAACGAGATAATGAAAATATTTCGAATTTGTCGCTTTTTTCAGGTTTAATTTACAAAATATCGATCCTATCAGAAAAATTGTTAGGACCGAACTTGTAGAAAACTGAATTTACTACAATTTTTGTCCCCAAACTTTTTCTGTAGAATCAAAAATGGCCGAGTTATTCAAGAAAAACCGTTTTTCAACAAAAAAAACATACGCAAAAGCTTGATTTGGTCGCCATTTTGAATTTACACTCCCAGTGACCCCCCCGAGACACCTATGAAAAAAAAAACACTAAAAAATTATTCACGGGTAAGGTCCGTTATTTGGATATAATGACTGGACTATTAACGATTCAAATTATTCGCGCGCAAGGTATAGCACCAGGAGATCATACATAGCTGTCAGGTTGTCAAATGACCTACGCAAGCTCAACAGGTGCATCAGCGCACTTTCTTCAAAGGTCTTGACCAGCGAACGTGGCAAGAACATCACAATCTGATCATTTTTTCTTGCATACTATAAAACTCTACAAACATTCTTACCTTCGGTCTCAACATTCAGTCTTCCGCCGTTAATCGTTATATTTGAGTGTTGTATTGTGTGCCCGTTCATGTCAAACTCAGTGTTAAGTGAAGCTCACGTGGAGACCGGCATCTCCGAAGCTGCATCTTGGATGACCCAGAAACCTCAGCAAAAGGGCCCTTTGCACTCCTAAGTTCACCCAGTCAACCAACAGCCGAATATTGACCACTCTGTAAGTCTCTGAGTGCTATACGCATTGATTCTTTGATATATTTGCAACACAAGCATGCCTTTTCTCTAGAAGAGCCGATCTCACTGTGCCCAAGATAAGCTTGTCAGGAGTAACCATATCTTTGAAGACATCCATTTCGATGCTTCAATACTATCAGCAATAACCTTTCTTGGGAAAATCACGTGATATCAATTGCCGAAAGTGCATCCCAAAAACTTGGTTTTCTGTTTCGGGCCAGGAGCTATTTCACTTCTAGTGAGCTGCTTATGATCTATAAGGCACAGATCTGACCTGTCCTGGAATACATATTTGGAGTGCAGCACCCAAACATACCCTGAAACTGTTGGATTCTGTCCAAAAAAGGACAATTCGTCTCGTGGGTGATGCCTCGCTCACAAACTCACTCACTTCTCTGGAACACCGTAGAGAAGTTGGCGATCCGGCTCTATTTTATAGATATTTTCATGGACGATGCTCTTCTGAAATATCAACAATTGTTCCTTCCTTGGCAGTCCCCGCGAGATTAACCCTTCGAGTCGAGGCTTCGCACCCCTTTTTGGTCACTTTGGAGACCTCCAGAACATCTATTTCCAAAGACTCGTTCATCCAACGAACAGCGAGGCTCTGGAAAACATTGCCAAGGGAGGTGTTCCCCGAGGCATATAACCTCCAGAAATTTGAGAAGCTTACTAATTCCTACCTTATTTCCCTTGGTCCTCACGATGTTCTCTGAACATTACAGGATATTCCTTTTCGTGGAAGATCTACTTGCCTACGTCACCCATTTATGGCAAGCTTCATTAGAAAAACACGGGGAATCTCTAGCTGTCGCGTTGGACATATCGAAAGCATTTGACCGTGTTTGGCACGAAGGACTCCTCCACAAACTTCCATCATACGGCTTACCACCTCAGCTATGCCATCTCTTATCGAGTTTTCTTTCAGGCAGATCGCTTCATGTCGTGGTGGACGGTGTATCGTCTGATACCATTGGCATCAATTCCGACGTTCCACAAGGATCAATTTTGGCACCAACATTATTCCTTCTTCATATCAATGATCTGTTGGTAGTAACAACTTGCCCCATCCACAGCTTTGCAGATGATAGTACCCTCCATACTGCGTTCTCTTCCAGAATTCCCATTTCTTCTCAAGAAACCAAGTACTCACGGCGCAGGCAGGTCAATGCTGTCAATGAAGACCTTGCTGAAATCACAGCCTGGGGAACAAACAACCTAGTTGAATTCAACGCCACCAAACTCAAGCCTGTATTTTCTCTAGGAAGGCGGAACTCAGTATGCCCGACATTGTAATGTCTGGCACCACCATCCCCACCAGGCCCACTTTATCTATGGTCGGTATTCCCATCAGCAACACTCTTTCTTTCATGGGATGATCATGTCAGATCCATCGCAAAAGCTGCTTTACAAAAACTCGGATTTGTGTTCCGTGCGAAAAGCTACTTTACACCTCAACAGCTACTCATGATCTACAAAGCGCAGATACTAGACACTAGATACTAGACAAGCCCAGTCAGCACATCCTTTCGTTGTCAACCTCGAAAGATGTCGAACAGCACTTTATCAAAACTCCTTCATCCATAGAACGGCTAGGGTCTGGAATTCATTGCCTGAGGAAGTATTCCCAACAACATACAGGGTGTCCGCTAAAAGGAGGTCAATCCATTAACCACATATTCCTTGAACAAAAACAATATGAGTTTCTAAATACCATTTTTCATTTTTGCCCTTCATATTCGATATACAGGGTGTCAAAGTTTGAAATTAAAAACTGTTTTTTTCTAATTACTCGCGTATTTGATAAAATAATAATCTCAAAATTGGTACATTACTTCAGCACAAAGAGTTACATCGTGTGAGGAAAACATAACAGAAAATAACTGTCAAATATTCAAAATATTGAGGGTCAAGTACACACTTACCCCCATATTTTTTTTGTACATGCGCTAATGACTTCCTATCTATTTTCCTTCAAGTGTTCAATCATTTTTGAGTATTTTTTGTTACTCGTAAAATTTCGATTAAATCATTTGTTTTTAAGATAATTCGAAAAGTACTGGTTATTGTTTGATGCCTATGCGGCTCACGGTAATCTTATAATGTTCACATACTCATTTATTTCGTCTAAATTGGAAGAGGGCGTATCTTTTTACGTACGAAAAGGTAAATATGGAAATACCGGGTGCTCAGAGCAATTGTACTAAAATAATTTTTGCAAAAAAAAAATTAAAAAAGTGTAAAAATTATTTTAATACATTCGCTCTGAGCACCCGGTATTTCCATATTTACCTTTCGGTACGTAATAAGATACGCACTCTTCCGATTTCGACGAAATAAATAGGAGTATGTGAACATTATAAGATTACCATAAGCCGCGAGGCATCAAACGTTAACCAGTACTTTTCGAATTATCTTAAAATCAAATAATTTTATCGGAATCTTACAAAAATAAAAAAAAAACTCAAAAATGATTGAACACTTGAAGAAAAATAGATAGGAAATCATTAGCGCACGTACAAAAAAAATATGGGGGTTAGTGTGTACTTGACCCCCAGTATTTTGAATATTTGACAGTTATTTTCTGTTTTGTTTTCCTCACACGATGTAACTTTTTGTGCTGAAGTAATGTACCAATTTTGAGATTAATATCTTATTAATTACGCGAGTAATTAGAAAAAATCAGTTGTCAATTTCCAACTTTGACACCCTGTATATCGAATAAGGAGGGCTAAAATGAAAAATGGTATTTAGAAACTCATATTATTTTTGTTCAAGGAATATATGGTTAATGGATTGACCTCCTTTTAGCGGACACCCTGTATAATGTCCAGAAGTTGAAAAAAAAATCCAATACCTACCTCCTATCCCTATCCTCCCTAGGAACGCACGATGTTCTTTGAACATTATAGGGATTCCCTTTCGTGCGCTCCAAGCGATAAAAAAATATATTAATAAACTCAAAAATTATATTGTTTATGAATTTGATATTATCGTATCATTTTTATTTTTCATTACTTACAGAACTTGTTTCGACTGGAAGTTATATTTCCGATTAATGAAATAAATTGATATAAATAATGTTTTTATTAATAACTTATTCAGCATCGTAGTGGCCGCTGAAATATTTTTGTGATTTGCAGCATTATTCTTTTGCAGATCTAACTATACAATATACTTATACTTTTGGTTGCTTCAGTGTTTTAAATAAATATACAAGCAGTCAAAGAAACTCTATATTTCTGAGTCAATAGGACGTAGAGGACAGAATTGGAGTCAAATAATATCAAAAGTATTTACAATAGATGGATACTAAAAACTCAAATGGCAAACAAATATGCAGTATGAACCTATCCTGTATCACATTTTCATATCAACTATCAAAAATAATATTATTTTCAAATAAGACACTTTTATTG